TAGTATCACTGAAGCAAATAGGAAAATGCAACGGGTATGCACTCATTGTTAATTTCTCTCTGAATCGACTTGGCTCTATTTACATTCAGGAGAGAGAAGCCAAGTCATAAAAAAATATAAAATGAAATAAATAAAATGTTAAAAATAGTTTGCAGCAAGTGTGATTATCTTGTCTAGAAATGAACCAGAAATATTTTGAAACAGCTTTAACAGTACATTCCAAGCAATTATCACTAATTGCAGAAAGGCAAAACTATTTGAAATAATCACTCGGAATGTACTTTTGAAGTAATTTGAAAGTGTTTTTTGGTCACATCCCTGACGTGCAGGGGTGATAGGATGCTTAGACATTTTGAAAAGATGTTTGAAAAAAGTCTTGGAGTTAATAAATGATCGATGGATTATCAAATCTTCCTGCAAAGTGCTGGGGATCTATCTGACAATTTTCAAGATGCGTGATGCCCTTCTGATATTTTCCGCGCAGATCACTTTTTGCAACCATGTATGAAATGATAGACAATGGAACGAAGGAACCAAGATTATGAGTGGAGAGGTGAACATGATAATGGCACACATCACACGACCTTAGCAGCTTGTACTTTCCCACGTAACTCAGCCATGGAGAACACGCAGTCTGGAGCACAATGCAAGACTTCATTGATCTCTTTCAGTCTTCATGCAAAGCACCCATTTTCAACCCGCCCGAAACGCGAAACATTTATACCTAGTTGAGGAATTGGCTCTGATTCTTTTACGATCCTGACCTCTTGGATGTAGTGCAGTGGTGAGCCGCGAATGATCGATTATCGATATGTCACCCCGTTGCAAACACCCTGTTTATCGATCCTTTTCCATAAGTTAAATGGCAGTTCATTCGAGATATCGCAAAGCATGCTGGGATAATTCATGGGCAAATTGTTGATTCGTGGATTTCATCTAAACCCAATCGGATTTATTGCCCCTCGGTTGACCTCTCATCTTGGAAGTAGATGCATGATTGACTGAGTTTAACAGAAATTCACCAAGCACATTTCTGGAAAGAACGATTATGCCCTTTGGCTGCGGTGCGCAGAATTCTCCATAAGAGAGATGGCCTTGGTTCCTTTCTTAGAATTCAGTTGCAGGTATCGATGGATCTGTATACGTAACAATTGCAGAACTATGTCATCTGTGAACTATGTGCAGCATACTTTATATCGCTGCTTAGAAATTAATAAGGAACTACGCGGTAGTAGATCAACATCACACATTTTCACAAGAATTTCCGTGAAATTCCGAAAAAAGTTCTAAAACTTAGTCCACATAATTTACGGACCTTACTCTTGCAATCCAAGCTTTGCGTAAATGACTACTAGCAAAAATCAACCGCCCAGAAGTAGAACTGATTGACTTTCACGACGATATAACTTCTATGGTACCCGATCAAACTTCATCTCGTCAGATCTTTTAAGAGGAAAACGATTTAAATTTCCATAAGACATCTTTGGGACGTCAATATGGCGAGGTTTTTAAAATAGATTTTTTGGAGAGTCAAAATATAGACTCATTACATCCACCTATTGGCGCTCAAGCCCCTTCGAAGTGAACAGTTTCATGAATTTTGTACATGATTCTTTGTGTAGGAAATGAATTATACTACCCTTACATTTCTTATTGATCATCAGAGGAAAAGAGTTTTATTCTATTACAATTAGGTATAACTTCAATTTTTGTGCGGTACCAGAGACTTTCGTTCAAATGAGGAAAAATAAGTGCGAGAAAGAGAAAACAAACGGAAACACGGGTGAGGAATTCTAAAACTACCCACAACATCTCCTCAGTTTAAGGAACTGTTCGTACAATTAGCAGAGCACCCTGGAGCGTAAACCAGGAGAGTTAATGCTTATGTGTGAAAAGGTGTGCATTTCATCATTCATAGGTTGTGATCATTCACTTCTCACCTAAGTATCGCAAAAATCATCAAGAAAAAAATTAAATAAATTTTCGACGGAGAGAGCCAAAACTCGTAAAACTCCTTCAAAGTATTATTTTTCACGCTGTTTCCATAATTTTACTAAAATTTTAAGAGAAACTTATGGGTGGTTTCGCGATAACTGGAATAGTTTTGTCGTCGTAACAGACAACGCATTTTTCGGTCATATTTTTAGTAGTAATGATAATCACACGAATTTTTTCGTATTAATCTACACAGGAGGTGTTAAAGCGCTTTTCAACGATTTATCGCTCTAATTTTCAATTTTAATATATAAATAGTCAAAAATGTGCTGTCTGTTACGCTGACTTTTTACAGCGTAACAGACATCACATTTACGGAATTTACATAATACTAATTGTGAAGTAGAGCAATAAATCATTAGAAAGTGTTATAATACGTAACCCTTTGAAGATAAATGCGAAAAAATTCGAGTGAATATCATTTCTACCAAAAATATGACCGAAAAATGTGTTGTCTGTTACGGCGACAAAACTATTCCAATTATCGTGAAACCACCCTAAAACAATTGAGGTATGCCTGGTAAAATTCTCACTCAATATAGGAACGCCAAAATAACAGCAAAATCTTGGCTTCACTAAATTTTACCGTGACGTGACTGCGCAGCGTGGCAGTGCGGCGGCAGCGATATACTTTCTCTGTACAAGACGCAGCGCAAACGTAGGGCACATATGCCAAATTTCCTCGAAAAATAATTAAAAACCGTCTTCTCATGGACAAACCTGCGGGAATTTCTAGAAATTCGGCACCGCGCGCGATTACCGCAAGACACATCAAGACGCTGCGTCCCATCGGCTCGTGGGAGAGGGGATAGGTGGGAGGGATAAGTGGTAAAAAAAACCACAGATCTAACCGAGGTTTCCTCAGGATTTATGGGATTTTTGCACAAAACGACAGAGTGTCGGGTGGGGGGAGAGGAGGTGCGGTCCAAACCAAACAATGCAGATTCAATGCTCGCGCTTTCCGTCTGTTATTAAAACCGCGAACACGGCTGCCAAATTTGCGCAAAATTCCCAGGAGTTTGCCATTTGATGGTGGGAAAATGTGACGTCGTGCCGCGCTGAAACATGCAACGTTGCCACAAACATGTAATGCAGATCTCACCTCGGGCCAAGTCAATATGAGATAATAGTGTAATTAGTTGGTTTACAGCTTGACATTGGTGCCGGGTGATGGAAAATAATAATGGAATCACTCGGTGCTGGTGTGTTCAATCAGAAAAGCATCTGATTTAAACTCCATTCACAACTTCGTTGTTTTGATTTTCAAAAAGGAGGAATAACATAAGTAGCTTAAAAATAAACTTGCCACCGAATTCATGATTTTATCATACTTACAAAAGGAGGAAACATGCGTGGACATATTAAAATCTACACGGCAATCGCAAAATGCGTAAAATCTCACAAAATTTGCTCAATTTTACGTAACATTAAAGATAAACGCTCATCGCCTTGATTGATAGTATTATTGAAATTTTATTCGGTTAAATTTTGAATCATATACAATCACCAAAAGTTAGATGGCCCAATTTTAGCATTCCCTAATGTCTTCCCAAAATTGTATTTCATTTGACTTAAAATTTTGAAAAAAGTTTGTATCGGAAAATTGGTAGTGAATTTGCTACTATATTTGACAAATCTTAACTTGATTTTTCATTAAAAAGTATACCAGACTTCCTGAAATAATCAGAATCTCTATGCCAATTTTGAAACGCTAAAATAAAACTTCACTTTCACACAAAATTCATTTGCGTGTGATAGATTTTGATGGTTGGAACTTCTTTTCCAAGTTCCTAATTTTCAAATGCCTCCTAACCCCCCGATCCCTCATCAACTTGAGATTTCGACGTCTTAAAGACCACGGATGAATCCAAAGTTACCGCAACTATGGGTGGATAGCATTGCTTCATGGGTTTTGGCTCACATAAAAAAGAGGTAGAGGTTGTTGGATGAATGGGCATTTCAGATTACACAAACTGATTGCGGTGGACGCACGAGTCGTGAGGCGGTATGTTGGAGTTATTTAGCCATCGTGCGTTAAATTCAGCATAAAGCTAATGTCTCGCTACAGAGGAAAAAATTTCACACACAAGCACAATTTTTCCTCAAAGAGATACGCTTTTTGGTACAACTCTAGTAACAACCATTCAGGAAGGCAACTGCAGACGCTTTTCGGCCTTGTTGGGCCAATCTTCAGTGCAGTGCAGAATTTTCTGTCACGAAGCTCGGAGAAGTCGTGAAAACTACTTACTACTAGTGTTGCACCAAACAGTATCTCTTTGAGGAAAAATTGCGCGTGTGTGTGTAAGCTTTTTTCCTCTGTAGTGAGATATCAGCTTTAGGCTAAATTTATCGCACGTTGGCTAAAAAAATCCAACATACCATCTCAAATTAACTGCGGTAAAACCCCAATAAATTGGAATACTGACCCAAATGTTGCGACACACCTCAACTTGAGATGCGCTACTACCGTAATCAATTGAAAATGACCATATCATCCATCAAACTGGGGTACACTGAAAAAAAACTCCCGGCCGTGGGTGCCGCAATTACGGGCTATATAGACTTACTGTCCGTTCCGGGCTCAAAGGCCGAAAATTCCGGCTGCTGGAGCCGTGGCTTCGGCCTCTGAACCCGGAGCAATCGAAGTCACGGCTCCAGCAGCCGGAATTTTCGGCTTTTGAGCCCGGAACGGACGGTATGTCTATATAGCCCGTAATTGCGACTCCCACGACCGGAGTTTTTTTTCAGTGTAGTACCGCAATTTTTTCCGTGTTCAAAACTGCATTCAAAATCCAGAAAAAAAATAACTTTAGAAAAACTTGAGAGCCCGCAGCGGTGTTGTAAAACGCTTTCAAGAGGGGATAGGTCGCATGTTCACTCAATAAACATTTTTGTCTGGTCCGATGGTTTCACCTTGGACACTACTTGGATATGACGTCATTGAGGAATGGATTTCCCTAATTCATCGATGACGCTAACAAATTGCCTCATTTTGAATGTTACAGGTGAAGCCGCCAAGTTCGACAACTTTCTGAAGCGAGTTAAGAGACAAGAGGAGTCGTCGACGAAAAAAGAGGAAAGTTTCGAGCAGGAGCTTTGCAAAGACAAGGATGCCGGCGAGTGGTTCCGTCTGGTGGCCGGCGAAGGCGACGCCTGCCGTGACGTAATCCAGTGCACATCATCGGTAATGACCTCTTTCCTCCTTCACTTTTTTCGCACTTCGACAGCCTGCGTCCTGCCATGCTAAAGAAAAACGCCGTATGAACATTCGAGAGAAGTCAAATTTTCTCGGATCAAACATTTGAGGCCTTATATGTAGCAATGGCGGATGTGAAAAATTACCTTTTAGAAACACGCTTAAAAAACTGTTTTGTTCACACAAAACTTTAATATGTTCGGCTCTGGCATAATGTACAGACCTCGAAGATCACATCTCAAGTATTTTTCAAAATTTTCTCGATGCCAAAACAGTTTTTTGAATGTGCTTCGAAAAGGTATTTTTTCACATCCGCTATTGTTACAGATAAATCCTCATTTGTTTTTGAAGAGTGTTTCTTATTTTTTCTCCTAAAATTCTCAGATATTTCAGATTAAATCGCGACAAAATCATCCGAAAAATGTGAAGAAAAGTATTCAAAGCTTTCCTAGTTAATGCGTATTTTATTGAAATAAATTTTACAACGCCTACAGGTTCATTCGACGTTTTTCATTTGCACGACAGTGAACGCCTCCGCGTCCATTTTCTTAGATGCCCCGAATCAAGTTAGTTTTTTGTCAAATTCTTGACAGTTTCATTTGAGGAGCTTGACGGACCAGTGGAATAAGTGCGGTTTTTGCCATTTCAAGAAATGCCTGTTTATTCAGCCTGTTAAATTTCAAAATCATATGGAAGCTTTATCGCGGAAATAGGGTTCAATTTTTTTAATGCTTTAACATTGGATTTTAATTGTAAATTGTTCACAGAATAATCTGAAAAAGATACAACGTAGGCACCACCATTTTACCCGTGCTTTAGTTTTACTGTTGTCTTTATGAAAGTGCCAGACATTCCTAATTGTAAAATTTAGTCGGGTTAAAATCATTAATACCTAATTCAATTACTTCGAAAACTGCACTTATACCACTTGTCATCCAAGCCTCTCATTTGTCATTATGCCGGGAAGGTGGAGGGGGGTTAGAGGGAGACTCCTGCAAGAGCACACAGGATCTGAAATTTTATGCAAGAGAGACCGGTCATAAAATACGTGGGAGGATTTGAGGGTCGTATTCATTTATAGTCGTTCCTCAACTGGATTACATTTTGCAATAAGGAACCATTATTTCTGGCCCATTTTAGAAACAACATACATGCCATTGGTTTCCTTATGCAGATATGGTTCCTTGTTACAAAATGTAATCCAACTAGTTCCTTTCCTTAGGAGGCTCCATTTGGTTTACATTGTGATCAAGGGAGGTTTACGAAAATGCTCAAAATAGTATCATAAAAAGGACAATTCATGCCAGCCTCGAGTGAAATTTATCTGCATAATTTTGGAAATAAATGTTTGGAAGAGCATACTGCAATAAAAACATGATAGTAAATACGAGTTAATAATTTCTTTAAGCCTCGAATGACGTGGATCAATGACCGCTGAGAGAGATGGTTAGCGTGACCTTGACCTAAATATTCAGTTGACCTACAAATCCAGCCCTCTGGTTAAACAAGATTGCCACTTGTTCTCTATGTTATGTTATCAATTCTCTGCATCTGTTTTCTGAAAAAAATACGTGTAATGCATTGTTACATAGCTGTGGGATAAAATCTTATATTCTCTGAGATTTAATCGAATCAATATTCAGAGAAATCGTCGTTTATCGAAATTAAGAGAGTAAAAATCCCAATTTATATCTTTAGGGGAAACAGCATTAGAAAATTAATTGGCAATTTTGGCCCATACAGACGAACGACAGTAATTATATAAGTTAAAATAATTAGGATTAATACTTTGTTGTAGTCATGCATATACTTAATAAATAAATAAATATATAAATAAATTTATAAATAAATAAATAAATAAGTAAAAGGAGTTATAATATCCATTGCAAAAGCGCGAAACCACGTATCTCCGTTTGCGACGGCGCAGACTTTCTGTCGCACTTTATTCTTTCCTCGGAAAATTAGTCAACGTAATTTCTTGAAAATTTTCATGGTTTTTCTTCTCTGTTAGCAGAATATTCTGTAAAAATGTCAAGCTGAAAAGTTGGCTCATTTCTTTTCGAAGTAATCAAATAACAGTAAAAATTTTGAAACATCGCAATGGAGATAAGTGATTTTGAATTTTGACCATCGATATATACTGCCGTGCTAGGGAGAAACGCCGTATGAGCCTTCAGGCGTTGCCAAATTTCCCCTGGTAAATCTTTAATTTTCAGGAAAATTGTTGAATGTTTGTCTACCAATTTCTCAGATAATTTTGTTTGTAATTTTATCTAAAACGTCTGAAAATTTCAAGGAAGAATATTCATAATTTTCCTCAAAAGTAAACCTTTTATCGAAGGAAATGACAACTCTCGAATGTTCATACGACGTTCTTCCTTAGCACGGCATTATATAAATGTGTACGAGTGATGAGACGTGGTTTTTTTGGCAATTGATTGTGATATCATCATCCCTCTGTTCCAAATCTCGTTGATAAATAAACACGTTAAGGCTGATAACTCCAGGCGTTGTATTGTAAAGGCCCCTAGGAGCTTTTGTTTTTCTAAATCTCAATCCTTTTTTACAAGGAGTTCAATTTCACTTCGTCAGTCTGATTATTCGTTTCTGTCTGTCTAGGGGCTGCAAGCCATCAGATGCCCTGCAGGTTTGTATTTCGATATCGAAAAGCAAACCTGTGACTGGAAGGGTGCTGTCAGGAACTGCAAGCTCAAGAACAAGGAGAGGAAAGCAAAGCCTCTTCTGTTCACGGATGAGCCACTCTGTAAGGTAAGAACTTACAACTTGCTATGTAATAAGCGAATATTCGAACTGTAAATCTAATTCAGCGTTTTGGTAAATGGGCCGACTTTGACAGAAACGTTCCGAGTCACAGTGGATCGAATCTATAGGAGAGATCGGACCTTTGGAAAGTTTAAACGCTTATAACTTCTTTGATACGAAACTTTGAGGTTCTAAACGTGGTTCCATTGGTTTCCTCCCAAAATTTTTACATATATGAATCCCTTGAATTTAAAATACGACGAAATGAACATCAAAATTTGCAGTTGTAGTCAAACAATTCATGTCCGACCTCTCTAATTGACTCGATCCACCGTGCGAGTCATATCAAGTTTGAACCGAGAGAAAAATGTCAAATTTGTATCCCTCCATTAGACTTTCACATAATGTTCACGTTCCAAATAATTTGTCTGGTCTTTGAATTTTTGGAGATGGAAAAATATTTCACTGGTTGAATTCAAAACTCATTGGATTTAAATTTCCCGACTCTATTTTTTTTTAATTTTTTGCCAAAAAGTACTTTTTTGTTGAACTTGACCCACTTACAAAAAAGCTGCTCCTCTTCCTCTGCAACTATCAGGTAATGTACAAGAAAAGAAAAATATTTTCTGGAGATTACTGCAAGTGCATATGAATGTTTGATAAGTGGATTTAAAATTTTGCAATGAGAGATACCTGTCTCTGGCATCTTTTTAGGATATTAATGTTGCGTGGACCACTGCAACATAACATTAAAATACATCTCGAGATCAGCTTAGGCGCGATTACTTTTATTCTACTTTGAAAAAATATCAATAGCTTACATAAAAAAAGAATCGTGACCGAGATCTTTTTTCGACCTTGATTTTAAGAGTTTCTATATTACACGCTTTAGATCCATAGTGCATGTTATCCAACGTCGGTTGCGAGATGGACCCAACATCAAAAATTGAAAATTACATCAAAAGGGATAAAGCAGTAGGGCCGCCGGGCAGTTTTCTTGCGATATCCCGAAACGGGGAAAAAATATTCCTACGTTCTGAGCTACAGATATAAATATTGTACCTATTGATCGTGGATAATTTGCGTTTCGTTACGCCCTCCATCCATGATTGAAAAACAAAATTTGATTGAATAGCTATTCTAGAAACGTTAATGCAGAAAGGTTGCTTACAGTCTTATAGAAAATAAATAACTTTATACACGAGCTCAGATTAAAATACCTCAAGGTAAATTGCGTCGAAAACATTATGTTGGCATTCCATTAATTCATATGAAGATTATCAGGAGTTCTCAAACACCTCAAAAAATCGCCGTAATTTTTTCGTAGCGAAAAATAGAGGTGTTCGCAGCTCCTTCAATTAGCCAGCTAAGCCATCTTAAATAAGAGCTGAGGTCAGTTTTATGAAACTCCCTGAAGGTTCGTTTCTTTAACGAAAGCAATGAGAGTCTGAACTAATTTTGATGATACTCTCATCCGTCAATGCAACGATCCCAAAGAGGTTGAATCAATGAATCTTATTTTATACTTGACTCAAAAAATGTCTCTTACAGTAAAATGTGAAAGATTTCTCCCAGGAATTCTTATAACTTTACTATACAACAATATTACTTTGAAATATGTCGTATCGCAAGAGTGAACGAGATTTTTTGGAAGTGTCGATCAAAATAATTTTCAACCCATAGATATTACACATAGAGATATTATTATACTCATTGAGAATAGTTTTGGGCAAAGGCTTTTCATTGCGAATTAAAAAAAAAACAAAAAACAAAAAAGCAAAAAACAAAAAAAAACTACTGAGGGCATTATTCAAACACAACATGAACAGCATTCATTCAATTTGTAAAACAATTAAAACAATAAAACCGTATCAAGCTAATGATTGATAAATCGTTTTGTCTATCGTTCACAAAGCACATTAGCATACCATTTTTTACGAGATAATTAAATTTTACCGTGTTTCATGAAAACATCACATGCGCGAGAGCGATCGTCGGAGAGTACCGAAAAAAGACTTCAACGCGGGAGTAGGAAAGTTGACTGCACTTTGCGATACGGAACTACCATTTCTGGCTCGTTTTAGAAACAATGTATACGCCATAAGTTTACCTATGCATATAAATGCTTCTACGCATGGGCTATATTTCTAGTTTCTATCGCAAAATGAAGTCTAATTGACGAAATGATAGTCATATTTATTGCTATTTCAGTCTGATAAATGAATTAAAAAGCAGGCATGACGATGGACCGCTGGACAAGGTACGAATTTAAGTATTCTGATATATGTTATTGAACCAAAATTAAACGTAGAACACGAGTTTCGCAACGAAAACTACTGAAGCCAACTCCTAAGGAAGATAATAACGTATATTTATTTTACATTGGGCACGGGAAGTTTGAACGGCTCATTAGAAACTCAAAGCTCTACGTGAGTCAAATCGCACACTACAACGGTTTCGGCAAGGTTTTTTAATCGAGCAATGTTCATTTTTCACCCTGTTATGTTCAAACTATGAACAATTTGCTATAGCTTAGCCAAAGCTTCAAGATTGAGGTTGCCAGATTTCATATCGCAGACTGTCAGGGTAGCGTTTTGCACGCGATGTGGCTCATGTAGAGCATTGAGTTTTCAAGAACGAGAGGTTTGAATTATGCGTCAAGAAACATTAAATACTTTGATAAGGAATCAATTTCAGTAATGTTGGTCGCACGAATCGTGTTTTACGTTAAATTTTGGTTCAGAAACAAGTATCAGAATGCTTAACTTCGTACCCTGTCTAGTCGTCCATTTATCGGAACACAAATAAAATGTGTAAGCCATTAGATTTGATAGAGCTCATTTCAAACTTTTAACAAAGTGGTAGTATTTCATCAGCTTGGTTTCAATTGTGTTACAGGATGGGCAGCTAGCTTGCGGAAACGGCGAGTGTATGGACCGTGGTCTTTTCTGTAACGGCGACAAGGATTGTGCTGATGGATCTGACGAAAACACTTGTGGTGAGTTTAAGAAGTCCAGTCATTTTCATTGTTCAATTAAACCGCATTTAATAGATCAAAACTAAGCTCATAAAGACTTTCATAAGAATATGCGCAAAACTAAGACATAGCATAGATAAATCCACCTTATTTTCGCAAAATGACTCAAATTGGGTAATATTGGAACTGAAATTTGTCCAAGAAATTAGTTTTTCGCTTACACTGTTGCAAATTTAAGTCACTTTGTTCTCTTAACTTCTGAAGTCCAAAATTCTCAGTATATTTTTTGACCGAATTTGTCCATGCTTGCCATAAAAGACTCTGAACAGTGGCGAAGCTAGGAATTCTTTAAGAGGGAGTCCGTTTACATTATTTTGTGTACATCCCTGATAATATTTTATGTCTGCCCTCCAAAAATGAACGAGACGAAGGGAGGGGAGCCAGGGGGGATTAACGAGGCTAAGGGGGGTCCAGACCCCCTGAACCCCTTCTTGTCTACACCCCTAACTCTAAACAAAGAATCAATTGTCTGCAATTGAAAACTTCCTATTTGCCTGAAAAGATATTTCCTTGATGGCGAACAAATATATCTGGTAAAAAAAACTTAAAAAGCGAAAATACCGACGAATTACCGGCAAATCCCGCGGATTTGAGCTCGAAGCTAGATGATTGTTTACTGGAATCTCGAATGATTTACTGCCTCTGGCGGGGACTCAGCACTTAGCAGTCATGCCAAGAAACGAGATTTAATTTGTCAGGCGTAACAGAAGCTTGCAATTGCTCGCGGCAGCGTTAGAATTAGTAAACGAGGATGAAAGCCCCGATCTATCACCGCGGTGAGCTCTGATTGACAGCGCGAGTCGTTGAACCGGTGAGCACCGTTGTCAAGTTGCCCTTTTATCCTTGCGTTTTTATGTTCAGTTCTAATCGAACGGAAATGTTAAACAAGGACGTTCCGTGAAGGGATGGCGGCAGGGCGTTGACGAAGAGATGTTTTTGTGTCAGTTGCCCGTTAACCTCTAGCGTTGGAAGAAAAAGTCGCTTCGATCGAGAGTCTAGACTCTTAAAAACATTGACAAGATAAAAAACTCTTGATTCAACCGGACTTTGCTTTAATCAAAAGTAAATTTGCCTGAATCAAGAGGCTGGTCTCTTCGATTCAAGGAAAAATCGGATTGAATCAAGAGTATTTTTTCTTGTCAATGTTATTAAGAGTCTGAACTTCAGATCCAAGCGATTTTTTTCCAGTGAAGAAGATAATCATACGTGGCGTGTGGGTTCCGCAAAACGCCAGAGTGCATTTTAGGAGCGTGCTCTTAAGGAGGAGCACCTTAAATGTAATGTATGAAAATCGCCGCGGAAAAGGTTAACCCTTAAAATGCGGGAAAGGAACTTTGGCTTGATTCAAAATACTTTCTCAATCGATCAACACTGCGGCGGGAAAGTTGCCAGTTCAATCCGTGAAACATCGAGTTCTCTACATTTAATTTAAAACAATTAATCTTTTTAACTTGCCAATGATCATGCAACCCTGCCAGTGAACTAGTTAATTAGTCAGAGATGACGATGCGGTGGTGGTAAGTGGCAATCAAAGATCTGTAATCAGCGATCAGCGACACTCAGTAATTATGTAATAAAATAAAACGACCTGACCTATCAGTGTCTCACTTGGCTCCGGCTGACACACGTGCAGTGGATCTAAGCGGTGTTGGTCGCGTCGAGTAAGCCATCTATATTACTCACGAAAGAAAGCTCTGGGTGCAAAAGCCATAATGACTGAGTTAACTAAAAATATACGCACGGTATTCCAAATTAAATGATGATAGAATGGGTCAGTTTCGTCGGTCACAAAATCGTGCCTCAATGCTTGATTCTTCTAGATTGGCTAAAAATTAAAAGATCCGTCTAAACCGCGACTTTCTACGTTCCATATTAACCGAGATATCGCCATTTGAAAAATCGGGTCTTTGACGTCATCCACCGTGGTAGTGACACCTTTGGTTTCTTCCACCTTGCTTTTATCCAAGTTTCACGTTAGACAACAGTGCAATTGTGCATCACGCCGATTGATGAAAACAAGGTGGATGAAACCAAGGGTGTCACTACCGCGGTGGATGGCGTCGAAAACCCGACTTTTCAAAGGCCGGTATCTCGGTTAATATCAGACGTAGAAAGTTGCGGTTCGTACGGATCTTATAATTTGTATCCAATCTACAAGAAACAAGCATCAAAACACGCTTCTGTGACCAGCACAACCGACGAATAGAGGAATCGGTTCCGTATATCGAAATGAAACTATATGGTTCTATAACATTTTTGTGTTTGAGCATTTTTAATAGGGGATGGTAAACCATTAAGGGGACCTCTGATCCTCTCCTCCCCTAATTTTTTTGGTTTTTACTTGCTTGTCACCAGAAATTAATGAAGTGAATAAAAATTCCACTCTGCCTTAAAACACGTAATTTTTTGGCTAAACTTTTTAAAAAACCAATTTTTTGAAGAAAATTTGAGGGGTAATATATTCCTTAACACGGTTTAGATGAAAAAATATCAAATGAAAAATGCAAGGGAGATTGATCCTTTGCCCCCCCCCCCCTCAAAAGCGCTCTTCAACTTTGCAACTCGGCAAATCTGTGTCTTGTCGGTCACACTTTGTCGTCAAGTATGGTTCAAAACTAAAATTGAAGTGTAAGTTCACTTTCCCATCTTCACTGGACGTGATGAAACATTGCCAGACCCACTCAGCACTTGCAATTGAGCAACGCTATCGTGAAACATGCTCCCTTGCAGTGAGACAGCACATAGCACCACGGTGCAATGCAAGCTAGTGTCCTCGGTGTTGGCAGATTGCATGCTAAAATTCACCGATTTTCCATTGTTCTGTTGAAAAAAAAGTCTTCCGCATAGAACTTGGCAATCATGCATGCACTCGTGCCCGTTGGACAGCTTCCTCACTCAAAGAGTTTTAATTAAAATGACACAGGAATCATGCCATGGCCACGAAGCTGTTGGGAGCAAAAGTGTTAAGGATCAGCTTGTCCACGTCCTTGCAACCCGGGCGACTGCGCGGCGAGCACACTTGCGACCGCGCTTGCTTTATTCGCCACCAGGGCGCGCTCGGCGCTGTTCTGCCGTTGCGGTCCCTTTTAGGGCAAATTAAAGGGCACAAACTGCGACCTTTTGCCTTTTGGCGTGATGGGCACTTGACTCATGGACGTCTAACCCGTCTTACCGGGATTTCCAGCTGAAAAGCTCAAAGGGAGCCTTTTGGCAGCGCTCCGTGCGCGGCCATCCCGTCAATGGGGCCCGCACCCGTTTCACCTGGGCTCTGCCCACTTCTTTCATTCATCACTCTTGATTCCATTGTATCGAGTCTCTTCTTCAAACCTCCTGAGTTCATTGTCTCAAGTTCTTCCCACAATTACAAGTAAGTACGAGTAAGTATTCGGAGCTGCTAAGTATTTCGGCGCTCCATTTCTTCATTCGGCGCTACGTTCTTACGGCGCTAAGACCTCTTCAGCAAGGGTTGCCACGACTTTCGGTACCCTTCTTCGGCGCTACGTTCTTACGGCGCTAAGACTTCTTCAACAGGGTTGCCACGTTTTTCGGCACTCTGCTTCGGCGCTAAGCTTTACGGCGCCACGAACTCCTCCTTCAAGGGCGATTCTCAATCTGACGCCCCCTCCTTTTTCTCTTTCTCTCTTCGTCACATTCCTTCAACTTCTCCGTCAATCAACAACTCTTACTCACTCTACATTTCTNCGGCGCTAAGACTTCTGCAACAGGGTTGCCACGTCTTTCGGTACTCTGCTTCTCTTCTTATGCGCTACGTCCAATACGGCGCTAAGACTTCTTCAACAGGGTTGCCACGTTTTTCGGCACTCTGCTTCGGTGCTAAGCTTTACGGTGCCACGAACTCTTCTTCAAGGGCGACCCTCAATCTCACGCCCCTTCGTTCTCTCTCTCCTCTCTCTTCTTCACATTCCTTTAACTTCTCTCAACAACTCTTTCTCACTCCACATATCTTCATCTTTCTCTTCCTAAGTTATTCTTGTTGCCCTGCCTTTAAGGTGGCTGCCTGCGAGACTATCCTCGGGATGACTTCTTTTCTTCCTCTCTTTCCTATCCCACTTTTCTAGGTGTTCTCTAACAAAAAGTGATGTAACAATGTCGCAACATTGAGACTTTTTCGCCAAAATTTTCTGGATGCTAGTATTGAATTCAAGAGAATACCTTACACAATCTCCTAATATTTAACGAGACTAATCTAAACAGCTGTAAGATCGTTTGCGATACAGATAAACGGTGAAAGTAATATAATAAATAATAAGTAAAATCGTTAAATATAAGTGTGAATAAATAAATAAACGTAGAAAATCAAGTCACAACGTTTTGAGGAAGAAGCAGTTAGGAGTGATTTTGACCTTAGAATTCTGTCGGTTCGTCCGGTCAAAAATGTGAGGTCGATAAATTACATATTTTAATTGAAAGTGAACCGTGCTCCTGAAATTAATTCTTATGGAGGGAAATACTTTAAACCTCTTTCCCTCTTTTTCACCTTGCCTTGACTAGAATCCTCGCTGTGGAAACTTGGTGCAAATTGCGTACTTTCTCAGATTTTTACCCTCTTCTTCCCTTCAAAGTGCATCCACGACGAAAGTGCTAACTTTTCAAAAAATTTTGTAATCAAACTGCCGCTTTCTCTATTATCGTAAGAGATCTAACAATTCAGGGAATTTTCGGTGGGAATTCACCTCTCCTTCACCCTCAATCGTTTACTGAAATGGATACTAGACTTGCGAGGTCGGAAACAGTCTAGGTTATTGCTACGAATAAATATATTTTATTGTGGAAGGAAGTTGAGAAAACTTTAGTAACGCAAACAATACTTAGCAGATGTCTACAATTTTGGTGAATCGCCGCGGCATGTTTCATACATTTTGTCTATTTTGATTTTTATGGAACATTTTAACTTCACTGGAAAAAAAACACATTGGATCTAGAGTCCAGACTTTTGAAAACATTGATTAGAATAAATACTCTTGATTCCATCAGATTTTTGCTTAAATCAAAAGGAAATCCGCTCAAATTAAGAGGTTTGATTCTTGATTTAAGCAAAAATCCGATTGAATCAAGAGTATTTTTTCTTTTCAAAGTTTACAAGAGTCTGGACTCTACGTCCAATGTGTTTTTTTTTTTTTCCAGTGTTGTTTTGTCACCAATATTCCTATCCTGGACTTCTTTTTGTGATACGATTGCGACCTGTGGGTGAGGAAGGTGGTCAGAAATTAAAAATCAGAGTTGGGCTGATCGGGGAAAGTTATGGTGAACTGTACTCCACCTGCCTCCTTCCCATCAGGAGGCCCCCGCCTGATTGTTAGTATCACAGATTCGTGGCACATGGCACTCAGCCAGGCCTCCATGCCTATGTCTAATCAAATAGTGTCGCGTGCGTGGCATTAAGCTCAGCTTAAGTTCTAGTTCAAATGAGAAATTGAAGCGAGACACCTTGAGATTTTGCATGCTTTTGACGTGCGTGACCTCATAAACTCGTTCTGCTCTATTATTTCTAAATAAATGCATTTCTGAAAAAATTGACATCGTTGTGATAAAAATTAGTAAATCTCTACTTCGCCGGCACAATGGGTAACGCTGAAATTACCCAAAACTCAGTCCATAAGTTAGGGAGTAAAAGAAACATGCAAAATGCCCTCTGGTAGGATGGCATGTAACGATTTCATTTGAATTTCGTCATAACAACTGGACGCATTTATTCGGGCTAAACGGATGTCCGTGTTGCATACGCTCGGAAAAGAAGGCGTTTTGACTCTCCAGGCTGTCCCTGCGTTCCAACCGCGGCGCAGCGCACAATGGATCGGGTCAATGAGAGAGATCGGACCAAATTCGGAAACTTTAGACGCATATAACTCCGTGTATTCAAAACTTTGAGGTTCTAAAAGTGGTTCCATTGGTTTCCTCGTGAAATTTTCAACGGCTAGCACCTTTTGAAATTTAAAATGTGACAAAATAAACACCAAAATTTGCAGTTTCAGTCAAAAATTTCATGTTCGGCCTCTCTAATTGACTCGATCCATTGTGCGGCGGTGGCGAGGCAGCGGGAGGCACCGTATTGGTGGATCCACCATATGGCAACATTGGCTTTCCTCCATTTAAACCTTGTAGACGCTATTAGTGCCACGTCACAGAAAAGCGATATATATCGATTTTTTCGCATTGAGAGCATTGAAAGAGGTTATGCCAATGTTATTGTTTGGATCCAATTCGATATAATGGAGACTCCCTATGATGACGTCGCCACTAATAGCGTCTATGGAAATGGTTCCGATTCTTGGAGGAGTCAGGTGCTTCGACAAGAATCGATTATTTATCATAGGTTTAAAGGTTTAATAGGTGATCGTTGACACCATGCTACGCAATCATTCGTGATCCTCTGGGTCAGGTTTGTTTACATGGGGCCAACTTTGGAGCTCCATGATAGCCTAAAACTTATGAACCAATCAGAGAGCGGTACAGAGATGGCAATACTCTCCCGAATTCTGATTGAATCCGTCGACATACTTTTTGTTGATAATGAATCTAACAAATTGATCCGTTGTATGATTTCAGACAACGACAACGACCCGAACCGAGCGCCGCCTTGCGACCCGGCCGTGTGCGTGCTGCCCGACTGCTTCTGCTCGGAGGACGGTACGGCCATCCCGGGCGACCTGCCCGTCAAGGATGTCCCCCAGATGATCACCGTCACTTTCGATGACGCCATCAACAACAACAACATCGAGCTCTACAAAGAGATCTTCAACGGCAAGCGCAAGAACCCCAACGGCTGCGACATCAAAGCCACTTTCTTCGTCTCGCACAAGTACACCAACTACTCCGCCGTCCAGGAGACCCACCGCAAAGGCCACGAGATCGCCGTCCACTCAATTACGTAAGTCATCACGCACTTTCATTCCAGCCCGAATCTCGATCCAGGCTCCGCACCAATTCTGCCGTACTAAGGGAAAACGTCGTATGAACCATCAGGCGTTGCCAAATTTCCTTTGATGAACTACGAATTTTCAGGAAAATTTGTGAAAAATTTTCTTCCAGTTTTTCCAAGAATTTTGTTCTAGATTTGATCTAACTAGCCTGAAATTTTCAAGGATAAAGACTCATAACTTTCCTAAAAAATGAACATTTTATTGAAGGAAATCTGGCAACTCTCGAATTTTCATTCGGCGTTTTTCCGCACGGCAGAATCCTGCCGTGTTGAGGAAAAACGTCGTATGAACCTCCAGACGTTGCCAAATTTCCTTTGATAAAACTCGAATTTCCTTGTTGACTTATGAATGTTTTTCTTTCAATTTCTCAAATAAATTAGCTCGTAATTTCACTGAAAAGTCCTTAAAATTTCAAGAAAAAATATCTATAGACTTTGCCAGATTTTCTTCCGATGGGATGTGTCTCCTTCGAATTTGGAAATACCATAGACTAAGTCAAAATTAAAAATTGCTCCAACGTTTTCCAAAAAAAAATCATCCTATCTCAAAAGAACTTTTGCAACGTATTTCCCACCGTGTGAATACTCGAAATTTCCCAAATTGCCTCTGAAAAATTGTTTTTCAGGGAACTTATGGGCATTTCCTCTAACATTCAAAAAGGCTATATAAGTTTTAAGCCGAGGTCTCTGAACGATTCACACACAAAATCTAACCGTTCTGTAGAGAATTCGTATTTTTAGAGGAAATATCGCAACAGATACGGCTCAGTCATATGACGTTCTTCATTTGCACGGTAGAAATGTAGGTTGCCTTAATTTTTGGCCTGAGACGACCTTTCACAGAGGGCAGTCAAAGTCCTGATAGCATTTACCGCAAAAAATCTATTTAGGTACTTTGCCGTAGCGCGACTGGACGCGACATTAGGCAGGAGTTAGGAGAATGCTATCAGAACTTGCATTACCTTCACCCAAAAGTTAACATTACACTGGAAAAAAAACACATTGTATCTAGAGTCCAGACTCTTGAAAACATTGACAAGAAAAAATACTCTTGCTTCAATCGGATTTTTGCTTGAATCAAAACGAAATCCGTTTAAATTAAGAGGCTTGGTTCTTGATTTAAGCTAGATTCTGATTGAATCAAGAGTACTTTTTCTTGTCGATGTTTTTAAGAGCCTGGACTCTAGATCCCATGTGTTTTTTTTCCCAGTGTTGGACCGCGACAAATATCATTTCTCGGGATGAAATTTTTGAGTCATTGTCTCAATGCACGCAATGCACGCATCCCTACGTTCTGTAAATAAGAGAGTCTCGTAGAAAATTCCGTATTATTATCGATATAGCCTTTACCATCTGTGGTATTCCGACTCGAAGCTAATTTTTCTGGGGCCTTTCCACTTCCGACAGCATAATCACACCGCATGATCAAGTGGAAGAATGCCAGGCATTGGACAATGGTTACGTCATTCTTCACCGTCATCCTCGGATGATTTGTGCTTTGAGTCTGCTCTGAGCCCCTTTTCACCGTGCGTGTAGTCGTTGAATCCTTGCGAAGCCAGGTGGCAGACGACCATTGATCGTTGATCGTTGATCACTTGACCGTCGGGATTCGAGAAGTTCAAAGTCGGTCCGTAAATCACAGTTTTGTCATTGACCACGGGAGGAAACAACTTTCTCCAATCTCTGAATTCTGAATGAAAAAGTTCAAGAGCCCGGCCCTCCGCGCAGTCATGCGAGCCAAAGTTGGCGTGCGACTTGCGAAAACCATCCGTCGGGTGCAAACATGTGGTGCAATTGGGCGTATATATGCTGAGAGGAATTATATGCATAGGATTTGAACAACATTGTTCCTTTTAGCTTAAATACGTCGGTTAATTACCTCATTATGGCGTTTCAAAAGCTCGTCGAAAGTAACGAAAACTTTATGTGCTTAATGTCGATACTGTGAGGATTCTTTTCATGGTCGCCGTATATTTTCGCTTTTTAGGAATCTCTTTGCAAAGCTTAAATGGGCAGAAAACTATAATTTAGGGGCTTAGAGGACGAGACGCATAAGTGGAGTTTTCGCCATTTCAAGAAATACGTGTTAGAAGTTTCAAAATTACACGGGTCCTTAAGGCAGAAAGAAAATTCCAACTGACTTTTTGATGCTTATAAATTGGAATTTGGCAGCGAATTTTTGACAGTATATGTATTAAAACTAACTTTACTCTCTACTAGTTTTACCATATCAATTTTTTCAAAAACTGCACTTATGCGTCTTGTCCTCCAAGCCCCCAATTACTGCATAATTTGCATGAAAATAAATATGCAAAAAATTGATTATTCACGCTTATTTTAGGGTAACTTACAGCGTTTCTTGAAATTTTATATCTCACATGTACGCGCTTAAATTTTAGTTTAAATTGTCAAAATTTAAGAAAAGAAGAAAAAAACAACTTAAAAGCGTGATTCAGATAAAAAAAATGGAATTCAAGTTAATCACAAGAAATCAGCCGCAATGTTTAAAATGAAAAAATTAATTATTTTTCGAATAGTGACGGAATGGTGACGAACATGACCTTCTCATCTAAATACGATGCTCATTTATGATTCCGTCATGTCATTGTTCGGAGAAATTTCTCGGGTTGTAATTGAAATGGCTTTGAACCATAAGTATGTGGTGAGTGATTCGTCATTTCAATGAGGAGATTCGCAGTAAAACCATCGATATAATCATTTTGATGAAGTCCTTAGTACCTGACAAGCACTCGGAATCTGGAATCAGACAGGGTGACATCATATAAAACTTGAATTATATAGTTGGAGGAAAGGTAGGCTAAAAATATTAAGATTCGTCACCGGCTCAGAATTTTCCGTGCTGCAGTCCTCCTCAGTGCATATTGGCAAATATAAATACTGTCAGACAACCTACGTATTTTCGCGCGACGATATTTTATAGGCACGTCAGATGCTGTGGTTTCTTGACTGGGTCTGGTGTCCTGAAAAATATCATTACAGAAATCCTGCAAGTATTTTCCTCCAAGATATTCATCTTATATTGTCATGGGAACGGAGTTCCCCATGATATTAGAATCGTTCCGTTGCTTTCGCTATGGAATTCCCTATACCTCTGCGACCTTGAGGGTTTCGCCCAGTCTCCGATTTTTGGTTGATTTTCCGATGTATCAAAAACCGTTGTATTTTTTAGCCAATCATGTCTCTATGTCAAGTTGTGTTGATTGCTAAAATTCGCTTTCAGCGAGTTTTTTTCCACCTCGAGATGTCGTGTCTGACTGGTAAATCTGCGCAGAACCACGAAGTTCCGTTTTTAGGCAAATTCTTTTTTTTGGGAGACTCCGATTGGTTATTTTTCGCCATCAGTTTTCTGTTCGTTGGTGCAAAAGATCGCCTACCTCGGTGTTCTTGAGAAGCCGCCATTATCCCACCTCAAATTTGAAAAATAGAAGTAAAGAAATAATAACCATCGTACAAGGTGGAAAATTGTTCTGGAGGACTCGTTGCGGATAAAGAAGTCAAAATCAGAGCTCGATTGATTGATTTAATTCATGGATACGCAAATATTGCCTCAGCTTACTGCCGCGATGGCAAATGCCTGCTGATATGAACCTTGAGACACATGATAGCATAGGCAAACAATGTTTCACAGAGAAAGGCGCTTAGCTCATTTCTCCAGAAGCTACGAAGACGCGAATCGCCGAATCGCTCAAGGACAACTCTTGTGATAAGTCCCGCCCATCGTCCGAGCCTTTTAAATGCTATTTTTTCTCCTGCTGTCGCTGATCTGCGGTAGCCTAGTTGACTGAGGCGCCCCATATTTTTGATAAGGTGCGGGCAATAGGTGATCGGGAGTTCGATACCCGACGATGGGAGTTAATTTTTAATGGTTGTATTGAATGTTTTAGACCAATCATCAAAAAATAATTAATACTAGATGATAAATGTACGAACATTTTCTCGTGAGTTAATATGTTAAACAAAAATACTGGAATATACCTCCTTCATATAATCAGCCACATGTTTCCCCAAATTAATGACGTTATTTTCTTTTTCCAATAAAGTTAATTTGCATTCAACGTTCGTAAGTTAAGCAAAAAGTACCTATTGATACAAATAGAAAGACATGAAAATAGTATGTCTAACATTTCAGTTGTTTTTTTTTTTTTATTTATTTTTTGTTTTTTTGTTTTTTCAATACAACAAATTGACTGGGACTAGAATCATTGTATCTCTGAAGACAAAAGCTAAGTTTTTTGATACAGAAATACTAATATATTCATCCGTTATATAATCAGGGAGATGTTGACCCAAATATTGATGTACATTTTCTCTGTTCGCCCAAATTAATGATGGTATTTTCTTTTTTCAATAAAATTAATTTACATTCCACGTTCTTAAAGCAATATTTTCTCCAAAATTCAGAAAAAAATAACAATTTATACCTACGCAAAAAGTAAATAAATAAATAAATAAATAAATAAATAAAGCAATGACATGAAAGTAGTATAGGTAGTACACATCTAACATTTCAGTTACATCTATTTGAATGAAAAAAATGGCAACTTAGGAAGCACATAGGTCACTTATGATGCGTATTCGGGCATATGAGTAGAGTAAAAATATCATACTTTACGCCGAAAAAACGAAACTGAAAGTTAAATGCGTTAACTTCCGAAAACCATACATAATCCAACGAAAATGAATAATTGGTAAATATAACAGCTTTCTTGTATGCAAAGAAAAAAAATTAAAAATGTTAAAAAAGAGATGTCGACACAAAATTACATAGCCCCTTCAATCCTGAAGATACTACAAACGAACTGTACCTTAACATTTTCATATCCCAGAAGCAAAAGTTCCCATGACGAATATTGCTATCGCTAGCGATTGCAAAAACCAACTTGTTATATATTATATTATATTATCATAATGTCGGCCAACTTTCTTGA